TTCTAATATTCTTTTTATAGAAATTAAAATGCTATTGCAAACAATTGTATTGAATTTTAAATATTGTACAATTTACAATTTTACATTTTACAGGAGCATCTGCGTGTTGTAACGGTGATACGTGGGCTTCCGAGCTTGGTACGGTGATTGGCATGAGTGATCCTTTCCTCATTACGACGAGAAAAAAAGTCCCGAGAGGTAAGAATGAGTTTTGTGGGATAAACGAATAAATTTTTTTTACTTTAAAAATAAGAAATCCTATACAATGACAAGTTCTATACGTAATCTAATTTGCTAATTGCTAATAGAAAGTTGATTGTCATTTTTCTTACAATTATATTAATAATTTATTAGTAATAAATGTTAATATGTTGATATAATGAATACTGTTAATATGAATTCTTCATATTTCGTTGTTCCAGGAACGAATGGTGGTGTATCGTGGATAGGTCTGATATGTTCTATCATTGGTGGTCTAGTAGTTGGACTTTCTTATTATATTGTGGTATTAAACACCGTTGACACAGCCGTACTGCAATTAGCAGCACCACAATGGCCCATCGTAATCGTCGCAGCATTCGGAGGTCTCTTTGGCAGCATTATAGATTCTATTCTCGGCGCGACTTTACAGTATTCAGGTAATGTAAATGTACTTCTCGATTTCGTATGTTTTCTTATCGTTTTAGGTTCAGAAGAATCTCTCGATGGTTTTATCAAATTAGCCTCAAATTAAATGGATAAATCTTCATAATATGTGATAATTAATACATTTTTTTAGGTGTAGACGAAAAGGGTATTATAGTCGAACGGCCAGGGAAAGGTATAAAATACATTTGCGGAAAACAAATTCTAGATAATCACAGTGTAAATCTCCTTTCTACTATTGGTGTCGCACTCATTCTTCCGAGAATAGCCAATATCTTCTGGCCATAGTCTCTTCTAGATTTAAAAACAGAATGTTCTAACATTTATTATTCTTATCTATATTCAAATAAATCGAATTGTATAACTTGTATATTAAAAGACTGGATTATGATGAATTTACAAATTAAGTTTAAAAGTGATATTGATTACTTTGATATATGAATTCCCTTTTCTTCCCCTTCCCTTCTTTTTTATCCAGTAGTATGACAGAGAAGTCCATAATCAGGAGAAAGAGGGTACCTACATATTCGGTGCTCTCTTGTGCTTTCATTGTAGTTTGTATTTAATTTCCGCGTTAAGGACGATTCAAATTCAAAATCGGACATTTATAGTTAATTTTGTTGGTAAATATTAAGGATATAGAAAAGTTTATCTCTTCTTAATTTTATTTTATTTTCATATAAGTACTACAATCAATTTTCATACAAATCCATCTTTAAAATTTTTTTCTCATTATTTATAACCTTCTATCGTGGTTCTCTTTTTGGCAAATTTTAGATTTCATTGCGAAATTAAACTATTCATCATACAAAGACCAGAAAATCATCGTGCGTATTATAAGCGAAATTCTAAAATAGCAATAATTTAAATATTGATACTTATAATAATGTACTATTTTATAAATTGCTTATAATGTTCAATTTTTAATTAAGCATTGTCTGTTTAATAAATATTAATATAGTATTAACGTAACTTTATACTATTCTGTTGTGCGCTATCATTTAATGTAATTAAAATATGAATTGTATAAAAATATAAAATTCATATCTTTAATATAATTTTACATGCAGGTGTCACATTATATTATTCGCAAAAATTATAGATATTTTTGTCATTGAAAGTAAAGTAACATTGGAGTAAATTTCTAGATTGTTTTTTGCATCTATAATATAAGAGCGTTTTATTACTATATAGCGTTCTAATAAAGACTTGAATAATTTTCATAATTTGAATTTTTTAATGTAGAATATACATGTAATTGTATATATCTTAAGATATACAGAATTATCGCATTCTCTTTAGAAAATTTAACAAAATTGAAAACAATTTCTATCAAACAACTCTTACATCTTTTAATTTTAACAATTTTAATTTTGAATTAAAAGAAAAAAGTTTGTATACAGGAAGAAAAAATTATATAAAAGTACATAAAATGAAGCTAGAATTAACTGGAGTTAAATATTTTCAACTAATTTATTTACTTTTCAAGATTCATAGTTAAAATGTTTTTTTTATTGTTATTCAGTTGAAAGAGAGTGCGATATTCTTTAATGTATTATAATGCCTTTTATGTTTGTATAATATTAAAGTTGATAAAATATTATGTTTGTATAATATTAAATAATATAGTTATACATACATATTATCAGAAAAAATAAAACAATAAATAATTATGTATATTTACAATATAAATTTGTGACCTCTTCAATTCAATAATTTATTTTATTAAAAATAAAAAATTATTAAAAATTATAAATAATTTCTTTAATTGTATCTTATATTCCAATAAAATATCAATTCGTGAAAATAGCAGATTTAAAAAAAAATGTAAATACTGCTAAATGTATATTCTCATCGCACTTTTGCAATTAAATATAAGTTCAATTTTCGTCTTTTGTATATTATTAAATATTATTCGATGCGATGAGAATACAGATAAGTATATTACAAAATTTCGAGATATAATTGTATACATATAAGTTAAATTTTAATCTACGTATATAAGTCAGTTAAATTACGTACAAGTAAAACGATCTACGTACATATTTTAATAATAAAAATACAGGACATCTCACGCTTATTGATTTAAAATTGCGTGCGCACACGTTAATATATATAGCGTATAATAGTATTAACCAATATTGGTTAATATTACTATAGTAATCAGTTTTAATTCATTTTATATGAAAAATAAAATATTAAGTAAAATCAATGAGATATCCAGTATGCCTTCTATTAAATTTATAATATCATATCAGCGAAATAAGAATTTTTTATAATACAATTATACGATTTAAGTGAAAGTAAATTGTTTAATTAACCAACTGTTGCTCATATCTTTCCATGATGTAATATTTACAGAATATATGGAATAAAAATATATCTAATAAAATCGAAAAATCACAGCAACATTTAAAACACGCTAATGTCCCAAGCAGTAATTCGACGTCGTATGAACGTCCAAACCAAATCCTGTAAATGTCTATCACACGTACAATCTACCGCCCAAAGGCGTCTAATAGACGTTAGTACATCCAATCCCGAATGGCACAGATAATTCGGAAATTATTCATCTTTTCTGGTCTATAAGTTGTTGGAAACAAAGAGAAAGACACCGAACAATTATTGAGCTCCAAAACGAAAGTATATAAAATTGTTTGATAGTTTTCAATCCTCGGACCTCCTGACGACAATTGTTCGCGCACTGCTTGAAAATTGAACATTATTAGCAACATACCTTGGACATCCCTAAAATATCTGTGTAAATAACTTCATTGTAGGACGTCCAAGCAATGTCCTTGGGACGTATTTTAGGCATCTAATATACAGCGATATAAACGGGACTTTTCAGGACATATTTCGGACGTGCAAGGATATCGAATTGTTGTTTGGAGTGTTTCTCTCATGTTGATATTTGATTTAATGATGACCCAGTTAGCAATTTGCTGATAGATTAGCAACAAATTCGATCAAGATTCTTATTGCAGATCTAAAACCATCTGCGTTCACATTAGTTTAGGCTCTGTCGGCAGTCTGCTGATAGAAATCGAGCAAGAGCTATAAATCTCGATTTCTGTCGCTAATCTATTGGCAAAGCATGTCAGCAGGCTTTGTTCTATTTCTGATGGCTATTTGCGATGATCCTCAGATATTAAAAATTTTGTATGAAATTTGTTGCCTTTCTGCCATGAAAAATTGGTAACATACTTTACTCAAAATCTGTCTGAAGGCTATATGTCAAAGCAAAATTCAAAATTTCGATATAAAAGAAATGATCTATTTATCTATTTAATCTATTTATAACTTTTAGGATTTAAGAGTTTAGAATGCCCTTTCCTCGAAAAGAAAAATTCATTATTGTCAGCTTTTACAGCTGAACTATTGATGTAATTTTTTTATATTTAAATTTTATCATGATTATGTTTTACTACGTTTAACTGGAATGAATAAAACGATAAAGTTTCTCTGTACAATTATATAATTACATGCAATTATTTTATCGCTTTATGCTCTATTACAGGGATCCCCAAAGTATGAGTCGCGACTCACTAGTGAGTTGCGAACTAATTTTTAGTGAATCGCAAAAAATTTTTAAATGTTAAATTACACTTCATTACTTCAGGTAGTTGCATAAACTTGCGTACACATGTCCTTTCATGACTTTGTATATATGTGAAATTAGATTTCCAACAAAATGATGGGAATTAAAACTAAATTCCGAAACAAACTACAATTATTCAAATTCCTTGCGTCTAAAAATGCCTTACATTTGATATCGATATCAAAACTGTCATTAACAAAGGAAACAATAGAAAATTAAAAAGTACAAGCCAAGTATAAATGGTATAATTAATTCATTCCTCCCCCCCCATCTACTTTTTCATATTTACTGAAATTAGATAGGTCGCGGATGCATATAGTTTTAAAAAATGGGTCGTAATTCATATAAGTTTGAGAAGCCCTGATCTATTAAATATGAATATTTAAAAAAATATATGTAAAATTCATTGCCACATTAACACATTTCCTGCCAATTTTCAATAACTTTTCATTTGAACTGTGTGAGTATATTAGTCATATATGTCCAATAATGAGACTAATAATTTTGCTTACACAATACATATATGTTTAACATATACATATAATATGTTTATAAAATTATAGATTATTATTATTATTATTATTATTAAGAAAACAGTAATGTTTCATAATGTGATAACTGTATTATATATAATATGTGATAATGTATTATATATAACATTTAAGCATCAATATGACTATGAAATATTTTATGACGTTTTTTCATGCAATAGGTAACACAATATCATAAAATATTAAATGAAAAGTTAGGCGTGAGGCGCATATGCGACAGGGAACGTGTTAAAATCGCAATTAAATTAATATATAAGAAATGATGACAAATGTACAGTTTATTAGAACTGAATGATTAACGATTCGTAATATTCGTAAAACTATTGCTATCACTACCGTTTATAACGACCTTTTATTAACTGCAATGCCTTTGCCATAAGTGGTGCCTTTGTCTTCTTCATGCCACTTGATGCTAACAAAAATAATTATTGGTTAAAATAGATATAATACATTTTAACTTCTGTAATATTAATATTGTAATCAAATTTTAATTGTAATGAAATTTTTGAAATAAATACATACTTGATGCTTTAAAGCGAGACATTGGCGGTGGTGGTACAGCAATATTCGTTGCATTGTTAACTGCACTACCGCCAGTTAACTTTTTCTTTACACTGGAGATAGTAGCAGGAGTGGCATTAGCTGTACCATATTTTGCTTGTTTTTTCAATACATTACGTGGTGGTTTCACGACATTATCTACATAAGCAAGTTTAGTAGATCTCATTGGGACGGACTTATCTATAGATTGTTTGATATTGGCGGTGAGTGTTTTTAATTTTGCTTCTCTTTCATCCAAGCAGCGCTATTTAATGTTAATACGCATTACAATGTTAATATAAATAAGGCAAATTATAAGTTTATCAGATATAAAATTTTAAACACATCATTGCATGTTATTGTTCTAGTTATATAATTCTTAATTCATTTACCATGTACATTTCACGCCATGACTCCATTTCCTGTCTGTCTTTATTCTTAAATTCTCGATTACAATGATATTTCCATAATATGTCTGTGTCTTCTATGAGGTATGGATTATGATGCTCTAACATAAATAATTGATCACATGTGGCACGTTCTAGGATCGGCTTTAATATATCATATGGTACACCGCCAGTAAACTCGAGTGCTAGCAATAAAAATATTTATCATTAGAACATTGGAACATTGACATAATTTTACCGTAATAAAGAAACATGCTTACCATCGATATTTTCTATCAATACTCTGATGCACATTTCATACAATGTCGGCACGCTTGTGTAACCGACTTTGTTACCAGAATACACTTTTGTTCTGGAACAAGAATAAATAATGCATAAACAATAGATATATTAAGACCTAAAATATTATTTTATCATTTGTATTGCAAAAAATATGTATAACTACCTTTGATTCTTGATATAAATGATATCATCAACAAACTTAATTTCTTCTTTGCGTTGCATAGGATTAATGTATGGCAGTGGCTTATAATTGGGACTAATTTCAGGTAATGTAGATGCCAAATCCACATTTAAAGGTTCCAACTTTACATTTGGTGCTAGAAGAGATGGTGGCTGAAAATATAAACTTGTTAGATTTAGTTTCTTTTAACAATTAAAGATACTATATAATAGAATATAAAAATTACATTTGGATTGTCATTGCATTCTGGTTCAATTTTCACAGCTGGCAACTTTTTATTAGTAACAGGGGACATCAGTTCTGTTTTACTTGGCTTACTGGGATTTGAATTAGACAAATTACTCTGACGTTTTTTCGATGGCTGAGGTATGGAGCACATGCCAAGTGCTTCTGCAAAACTTGCACCTAAGAATAGAAATATGACACGGTTGTATCTGATATTCATTAAATAAACTTTTTATATAAAATATTCTATATTTATTTATTTTTTTAATAACATTAGTTAATTTAATTACTCAGTAATGTTATTTATCTATTAATAGTATTAACATTGAATAGGATCGAATTCAATGTAAGAAAAGAAACTTCAAAAGACAAACTTTTATTAAGTATAAAAGACGTTTGTTTAAAATATTGTGTGTAAAGTTTGCTGAATTTAATTATTTTTTCATTGCATATAATTTTCTATCCTTAATAATTTTTATTAACTATAGACTTTGTAAAAATTGGTTCAAGATAAAATATATGCTTATTAATACATAAACAAATATTTGCTGTGTTCTCTGCTAGTGCTGACAATGTATAGTGTACGTAACGTAAACTATAGATTTTCAACGCTGTGTGAATTTTGAAACACAGCCAACATGTATCTGTTTCTAATCTTATTATTATGTTTATCATTTATTTGTTATATTATAAAAAGTAATTCAATGTAAAAACGGCTTTATGCAATAAGCTTTCAAATATATTCTATAACATTAAATTCTATAATATTCATAACAATAATTTAATTGCATATGTAATTTATTTTACAAGAATAAAGAATGAAATAAATATAATATATGAGATCTAATATACGATAATCAATATAAATTATTTGGATAATATAATATAATATATCTATCTAAACTATCTTATTTATATTATGTTATTATTTTTAAATACATAATGTGATATAAATGATTCTTTTAACACACCAGAATTGCAATCTATTCCTTCATCACCATTTATTTCCTGCATTAACTTAATTTTTGTCTCTTTTTTCTTCTCATGTTTACTCTTATTCTCCTTATGCTCCTTTTTCTTATCCTTGTCTTTATTCTTAATATAATCTTTACTACTACAGGAACTGACTCTTGATTTAGAAGTTTCTTTGCTAGAATGATGATTGGAATCTCTTTTTGTATCATGTTTTTTATGACTAGTATGTTCTTTTTCTTTATGCTTTTGTTTTTCACTGCTGTTCTTTACTTTACTACTTGATTCTTGAGACTTAAGCTTACTGGAACTGCTCTTGGATTTTTCCTGTAAATACTTCTGTTTAATATTTTGTTTGTTATCAGTTGTTGAAAATTGTTCATCTTCTACTTTAATTTTCACCTCTATCTGAATTCCAGAAGATTTCAGATGAGAACGATTATGTTCTGAAACAGGTGGTTGAGATTTTTCATCATCACTTTTGTTATCTGATAATTTCGTCTTCTTATTTTCCTTCATCAGGGAATTAGAGTCGTTTGTTTTCCTCTTCCTATTATTGTCTTCATTTATCTGGGTAATTTTATCATTAGTCTTTTTTAAATCATCACTCTTGCTGTGATTATACTTTGTCGAACTATAAGCTTCTTTATTTATGCTACTTTTATAGCTTTTTGATTCTTTGGATCTTTTTTCGCTATGAGAATGATGTTTAGAAGAATGTTTACTTTTTTCATGCATTTCGTGTTTTTCCTCTGACTTGGATAAATGCACTACACTAAGTTTCATAGAAGTATTTTTGTCTTTTTTATGTCTATGCATATATTTTGATTCTGACGATTGTTCAAATGAAGAATCACTTTCTTCTAAATCCTCTGGTATTGGCGATTCAGGAATATCGGTATAAGTTTTAGAAGCATCAATTACACATGCTTCATCCTCATCTTCTCTGTCACTGGAATCTTCAATATCATCTGCTACCATAGTCTTCCATTTGCAAACCAGAGATTTAGCGGCATCACCCACAGCACCATGATATTTTCTCAAGCCATTCACAGTTCTTCCTACTCCTGTCTGTTGAAGATGTTGTACCGTCACGGGTAGCTTATATAATTTAGAAATGTAATGTAAAATCTGTGGGAACACAATAATATGTAATAAATTTATGTTCTTTTGATATAGATTATAAAATACAGTAATATAAAAAAGAAACAATTAAAAGACATCTAATAGATACATGTATACCCAGTGATGTTTTAACGCATAGGCAAACAAGGCATTTGCCTAGGGTGGCAAATTTGAGGGGGTGGCAAATTTTTCAAGATAGAAAATTTTCACACAGTTGAAATAAATTTATAATTTATTAATGTAACGTTTTTACACGAATTACACTGAGCATATTTTATGAAAAACGATATTTTTTAAATATATAATTAAAAATGTATTATATTTATATTATTTATTAAGGATTATTGAATGTTTTTACCAGCTAATGCAGGAGTATAAATCATTTTTTTAAATCCATTTTTCCTTTTATCAAAATTTATAAATTAATGAAGCCACTTGGGGATGGCTAGATGTTGGTGCCTAGGGGCGGCATAATGCTTAATCCATCGCTGTATATACCGTGTACCATAAAAATCATTTTCTTTAACTTATATGTTACATGGTTATTTTTAGAAATATCCTATAAACACACAAGATCTTTTTATGATCTTTACTAACGATAATATGACAATGAAATACAAATTAAGTAATACAATAACGCTACAAATAAATATTTATATAATATATGTCTTTAAACAGATTATATATACGTTTTTTATAACATTAAGAATAAAAATAATTGTTATTACAAGTTGATATTTAGAGAGTAGACATTATTCAAAATTCTATTGTATATGTATAAATATTATATGTATATATTAATAAGATAGAATTTTTAATAATTTCTATTTCTAAATATTGTAATGATCTTGTAATAACAATTATTTTTGTAATTATTTTTAATATTATATAAGAAACATGTAATATAATCTACGGATATATATTGTACAAACATTTATTTGTAGCATCATGACATTGTTTAATTTACAGTTTAATGGCACCCGCACACACACGCACGCACAAACGCGCACACACACACACATACACACAAACACACATACAGACACATTATCACTAGTAGAAATCGTTAAAAGATATTCATAAGATTTCCTAAAAATGACATAATATATGTCTAAGAAAATGGTGTTTGCAAAAAGTATTAATGTAAATATATAGGTAGTTGATCTATGATTACAAAGAGTTTTGCATATAGCTGGTTAGTATTTATATAAATTATTGAACTCGAATATCTTGTTATAGCATTATCACTATACATACATACCCGATCCTCGTTATCACCACAAGTCTCTAAATTGCGTTGATAATGAGAAATTTTATCTACAATAGACATCCTGCAACTACAACTACCAGCTGTTAACTAATAATATTGTTTGCAAAAAAAGACTAGACCCCCAAACGCGAATGAGTACAAACAATTCTCTGAGGCACTCCGAAGGCGAGATAAAAGGCAATAAGTGAGCATACGTGTGATTTAGTTATAGCACACAACTGCACACTTTATGCAGACGAATTTGCATAATGCTATTCTCAGAAAAATCGATCGATCACCTAACGCTAAGAAAGCAATTGGAAGCACTAATACCGTATTTCTCGTATGCACGATAGGTTCATTTCTTGATTAATAAAAAAAAAGAATTTACGCTTATACGCCAACTTGGTTGTATGTATACAGCTTAAAATCAGAGAGAAGCCTGAGAGCAGCCATGCCTGGGATTTAGCTGTTACTTTATTTTGAAGCGCCTCTATGTCCACAAAATGTGGACATTGAACTACGTAACCAATGTCCATATCCAATCAGAAAACAGGATTCCGATGAATTTTGCTTCGTATTATCGGAATCCTGTTTTCTGATTGGATGCAGAGTGTCGTACGACGAAAATCGGATGCAGTGTGAATCCAGCATATGTCCACGATTTTCGATCCATTAAATAGACAAAGATGAACAATCGTTTATTCAACAAGTGCCGACAGATTGATTGTTCGTCTTTGTCTATCTAAAGGTACAATTTCATGCAGCGAAGCTTCGAAGGCTCTCTGTTCCGCCGATTCGTGTGAAAATACGTAGCGAAAAATTCGCTCAAAGTTCGACACTGTCCAACTATGAGCGAAGCAACACTGACTTTGGCTATGATCCACTTGATTGGTCAAATATTTCGAAGCATCTTTTGATTGGTCAATTTTTTGGATTATCTGTTCAACGCTCCTTTAAGATACCTTTTTATGCTGACGCTCGAAGCTCATTTTCAGCGTCAAAATAGGTCATGTGATCAAAATTGGCGCTTGATATTCGTCAATTTCTATCACGTGACTTATTTTGACGCCAAAAATGAGCGTCAAGCGTCAACATGAAAAGGTACCTTTATTCACGGCGAGTGGGAGTTAAGCCTGTCACACATGAAATTCATAACAGAGCATAAGCGTAACATAAGACTTTTGAACCAATGAGTATCCAGCATAATGTCGCCATATTGATTTACATAAGATTTCAGCAGTCTTATATATGCTTATGCACTGTTATGCTTTTCATGTGTTCAACATATGCACAATATGCCTGCTACATATTACCAGGGGTGGGTAAGTTAACTTTTTTTTTTAACCAAGTTAAGTTAAAGTTAATATCCTTGAAAATTTAACTTAATTAAAATACAAGTTAATCCATAATGCAATTAATTGAATTAAAAGTTAAGTTAATAAAAAAAAGTAATTGAAAAGTTAAAAGTTAAATTTGGTTCGAACGAACAACCAAAAAAAAAGAGAAAAAGTTTGACCATTTTACATAATTTTTCGTATTTTTCCTTTCACATCATATTTATTAAAGAATCTGATTATTTTTGTTCACAAGTAACGATTATACAATATAAAATTACTAAATTATATATACTCATTATACTCTGCCATTGTGTTTGAGAATTGACTTCAAAAAAATTAAATTAAAAGTTAATAGTTATCACCGACGAGATACTGTTAAAGACCGTCAACCCTGGGCAAATTTTCGGCGGTATAAAAAGGTTCCCAAGGGCCCGGAGGTAATCGAAGAACGCTGACATTATCGACAATTGATATAAATTTGCTATTATTAATATAAATATTTGACTAATACATTATTAAATTCATGATATTTTATTACATAAATACTCTATAAATAAATCTGCATATTTGTAAAGCTATAATATCCTATATATTGCCGAAAAATTACAATTTTTTTCTCTGCAGTTATTATCTCTGTTGATAATCGAACTTTGACGATACACTGAAATCACAATTTTAAAGAAAAATCGAGTATTATTGAGTTTTAAATGCACATACACCGATAAACACGTCTACTAAACTAATAAATCATAAAATTAGTACAATATTATCAGTTTTTTTACTCTTAATCACTTCAATATTAACAAGGACGCGAACTCCCATAAGGATGTCGGTCTTTAATAATATCTCGTCGGTGTAGTTATTGATAAAATGTAACTAAATTAAGTTAAAAAGTTAAAAGTCTAAAATGTAACTAAGTTAAGTTAAAATTAATTAACTTTTTAATTTAACTTTTATCTTTTTAACTTAGCACTACCCAACCCTGCATATTACATACATATTATATATGTATTTCGACTTGAATATATCTGCTACATGTTACATAGATATTAAGTACGTATTTTGACTTGGATATTTCATATCCATTGCGTTAATTACGTATTTAATACATTATATTATATTTGATATGAAATGAAACACAATGTAAATGCAATATAGATACGTATTTAATATATATTTGCAATGAAAGGTGCTGTGCGGGTTAAAATGGATTCACAACCTAAAAAATATTTTTTCGATTGAAAAGAATTAGAATCACTTTCTGTCAATCTCGTGTATATATTATGGACAAAAATGGATTTGAAGTTCTCAGACCTGCATTGGATTGAAAGAATAAGAATTACATCATTTCAATCCTATGTCATAGATTAAAATGAATCGCATGGCTTATTTTTTCCGTAAAACTTTTCTTTGATTGAAAGGAATACAAATCCTATAGATTCAATCTCATGTCATGGATTAAAATGAATTACGTGGCATATTTTTTCCGTAAAACTTTTTTTTGATTGAAAAAAATAGGAATCCCGTAGTTTTAATCCCATGTCGTGGATTGAAATGGATTCAAACATTGCTTATATTTGATTTGGATTGAAATGAATTAAAATCAAGAATTTGGATTCAGCAATGACTAAACGAATCTATTTCAATCCTTTTCCGGATACTGGGATCTTTAGAAAATATTTGTAAGATTATATATTAAAGAAAATAATAGAGACCATTATATTTATAGCTATATGTATATATATATATATA